TAAGATCTATGTACATAGAAGTTGCATTCAACTATAAAAGAGTTATAAACAATGCAATAACTACACTAAAGTATTGTTTACAAATTCATCAATTTAATTTATTTCTATTTTATGCTCGTCTTCTGCCATTATAGGATCGTCTACTTTCTGTGGTAGGACATCAGGTAATTGCACTTCGTATACAGGTTTTCCATCCTCACTGATCCAAATACTTCCGTTTTGAGCGCATCGGACCACGTAGACCAATCCGTGTGCGATAGTATCGACTCTAATAAAACAAAGTAGACAAGATTTTTAATTCCTATCTAAATTCAGAAATTAAATTCAAAGTACCTCCTGCAGAATTTATTTATTGTTTCATTTTCCGGACAGTTGTTTGCCAAATTTTCCATAATTAGATTCCCAGTGAGTTCAGGACACAACACTACGATCCTGACGCCAGTCCTCTGGTAATGATAAGGTTGCTGCAAACAAGTAACCGAAAATAATCAGAAGAGCATTCTAGCTACCATACGTCTTAAAATTCTCGAAAGTTTAAAATGATTAATGTAGGAAATCTAAATCTACCGAAAAAGATCGACTAAAGCTGACTACGGCATGTTTCGTGGTGGAATATACTGGAAGATGAGATGCGGAACTCAGACCAGCCTCGGACGAGACGTTCACGATAACACCCCCTTTTCCGCCAGCGTCCTTTTGCATTTGTTGGATTCCTAGAAGCGTACCGCGTATCACCGCAGTCTAAACGAATTGATCTCAATTAATAAATTACAGTGATAAATCTGATGGACATTTGAAAGAATTCTATGGAACATCTTTCTAGAAACCATAACTGAGAGACTGTACATGTCATAACAATTAGCCTGATTATTATTCAGCCAAGGTTCTTACAATTAATTCTAAATTTAGACTCTATGTAATAAGTTACATTTTCTTACTACGTTCACGTCGATGGCTTTCACGAAATCATTTTCATTAATCATACTGGCATTGTTCACCAAAATTTCCAGGCCTCCAAGAGTCTTTACAGCTTCTTTGAACGTCTCTGTCACAGAAATTAAACGCGAAATGGTAATTCCGATCTGTATTTTTTTATCGATTGTACTTACCATCAAATTCGACATTGTTTGTGACATCGCAGTGAAAGAAGATGACGCGATTGCGGCCAAACTCGGCGTTCAGCATGTCCATTGCTTTCTTGCCATCCGACTCTCTAATATCTATCATCGCGATCATCTGAATTCAGTTTAATCTCACAATTAAATGATCGTAAATTATCGTATTCCCTAATCATAAAGCAAATTAATGATTACTTACAGAAGCGCCATTTCGAAGCAGTTCTCTGCTGACGTTAAAACCCAGGCAGCTTGCACCTCCTGTCACCATCACCCTTTTATCTTTGATTTGCATTTTTTTTTTATCGTACTGCACGTGTACTTTTATAGAACTGTTGTAAATCAATTAGTAAATCAATCAATCAATCAATAAATACTTCAATTATATTGGTTGGAATCAATGTATTGCAAATAGTTTTTACAATTCATTGCTTGAGCTTCCTAATGGATAAACTATTCAATTTAAACGATTTATTAAACTCGAGACATTGAGATACCGTTGAGACTCGTAGTTGTCTTGACAGTTTCATTTATGAAATAATAATAATTCGTAAATATTGTCACTGTTCTCGGGAAACGGGAATTAAAGAACGACGTAGTCAGCGCAACGTCCTGGCCGTCACTGGCCGAGTCGGCCTGATATGAGAGAGGCATGTTGCTCTCGTATCAGGATCTCCGACCTTTCGTGCATCGTGACTCTGCTCGAACGCGAATCATCCGATATTTGTCGATCGTCCATTTCAACACGGCTCTCCTCTTGATCTTTCACTGCTGACGAGATTTGTAACTGTTTAACTTTTGCAGTAGTCAACGTCATCTCATTTCTCAACTAATTTTTTAACATGCAGCAACTTTGACTTTGCTTTGAAATTTTGAAGTGTCGAGGGATAAGTAGAAATCTTTATTTTGGAATCGTAGGTCATGGAATGAGTATTGTGTGTTATAATTTTTGAGTATGCTCAGTTTTATAAAAAATTACATAATAAAAAAAGAGTTTCATACAATAGTTGTCTCTTTCTCATTAGACTCTTCTGCGAATACGTGCTGTTTTGTTAACAAGTTTAAAGATTAAGCGGGATCTTCTTAACAGGCGGGAATTCAAGAGCGTACGGCGTTTGACTTCCTTCGCAGACCCAGACGGATCCATTCTCGCCTTTCTGGATTAGGTTCATCATGGCCTCTCCAACGACCTCTGGCCTGTTGACGCGAGATAAAAAAAGTTAAAAATATATTTTTACATTGCTTTCTCAGACATCCAGCAATTACGCTGTCGCACGAACTACAAATTATTTTTGTATGGTTTATCTCAGAGAGTTTGAGGATTTGATGGCTCAGTTTTCTATTCATCTTCTCCTCGTACTTTAAGCAAAATTTTTAGATTGTTCTCTGGTTCGTTAGAAACCGATTCTATTACATCAGCAGCATGTCCACGAAATGAAATTTATCATATTGATTAAATTCATTCTTACGGCTGTGTTGGCAGACTGCGGAGCGTCTGTTGAACATCCTCAGGCTTAACAAAGTTAAAAACAGTGTTTTCGAGTTCTGTAAGCAAGTTGGTCGTCGTGACACCTGGGCACATGACAAGAACGCGAACTCCGGTGTTATCGTAGTGAGTCTAAAGTGACAAGTACAATGTCATGACAATATTTCCAAAAAGAAAAATCAATAAATCAATCTTTGGGATTAATTGCACTTCGTCGGTAGTATGTTTACCTGTAGACATCGACTGAATGCCATAACGTCCCATTTACTGGAACAGTACACCGGGATAATCGGGAAGAGTTGGAAACCGACGATCGACGAAATGTTCACAATAGTTCCACCTTTGCCGCCTTTGTGTTTGCCCATGAGTTCCATGGCGAGCAACGAGCCCTGGATTAGACCAGTCTAAAATTCAAATAATTAATTGATTGATCATTTCGTTCGATTCGTTTACGTAATATTTAATTTCACAATAAATGAGATATGAATAGTTGAGTCATTCTCATGTTGCAAATATCGTTACCTATAATTAACAATTTTAATGTACTTGACTTTTTTTAAATGCTGTTTTTGTAGAGGCATTAAGATGTGTCTTACTCGTTTGTTTGGTGTCAAGGTGCGAGGACATCACTTCTTGAGCAAACGTATCATTGATATTATTACATGTATTATCGTTATATAATGAGAGTTTAAAATTGAGATCAATTTGCTAAAGTCTTGTATTATATCCTTCTTATATAAATGAGAATATAAGGATTAAAATGGATGACTTTTTGCGTTTATTATATTGCAAATATACTTACAACGTTGATATTAACAGTTTGCTGCCACTTGGTGTCGTTACATATACCAGCATTGTTAATAACAATGTCCAGACCGTTCAACGCGTTCCAGACCTTCTTGAATGCTTCTATAAAATTGAGAAAAAATAAAATCAAACTATGTTTTATTTCTTCCAATTCACATTGACTGTTTATTCGCTATAAACAAAAGTGACGTGCCCGTCAATTGTTGTACGTTGCTGACGTCGCAGGGACAGAATATTGCTTTTCCCTTGCCGAATTCTTTTTCCAAATTCGCTGCCGTCGTTTGTCCAGGGGAACTGGCCAAATCAAGAATAGCGACAGCCTAACAGATTAAATAATGTCAACATTTCTGAAACTATAATCACGATATCCATAATATTGCAAATATAAATTTACCTTCGCTCCATTTTGCAACAGTTTCTGAGCATAATCGAAACCGAGCCCGCTGGCTCCTCCGGTGATCAAAGCAGTCTTGTTCTTAATATTGTTCATGATCTAAATTTAAATTCAATTGAAAATAAAGAAAAAAAACGAGATGAAGAACATGGAATGCTCAAGTGTTATTTGTCAAATTAAATTGAGGCCAAATGGAAATTGTTATTAAAAAAGAGATGTTATTATGCTATTAGAAATTATGTTATTAGAAAAGAAAATTGGGAATATAGAGCGAAACATGAATACAGGAATACATTGAAACACTTACCAAGCTTCTTGTAGAGTACGGCTTGGATTTTAAAGCGGACGATGCGTACAGCGGCGTTTGTAACGAAGAAGTAAATCTCTCCTTGTCGTCGGGCCAATATTAAGGGACCTCGGTATCTGTGTTTGACGGGTGTTGAATACCGTGATTCATACACAGACATGCGCGAGCATACCCACACATTCAAATAGACGTGATAAGCTGTTTTAGTTTTTAAACCAGCTGTAAAAATTAATTTCGCGATAAAAGTTCGCCACGTGTACATGCCTACGTACGTGTACAATTCGATAAAGGTAAATAACATCACGGTGGATACAAATTAATTGCAAACAATTTATTATATTTGTCCTTATACTTTTTGCCTTTTTCATAAATAAAATTAATTTTACATTACATTGAACATTATACTGCTGTTTAATAGAATATTACATATTTTTTTTTTTAATATAATTATATATTAATAGTTGTTGAACATTTCTTATATACGTGGATTAATCTAAGGAAACACTGAAAGTTTAGTTGGTAACTTGAAATTGAAAACTTGTGTAAGCGTATCAATACTTTGAATATTTCTCGTATATATGTCTCTTGGACATTAAATGAATAAACAAGTTACCAGTATGTGTTATTAGTATTTATTACATAATTTAGTATTAGTAGTTGAATTGAATTAGCAGTTAGTGGATAGTATCGTCAAAAACCAAAGTTCCTCTCTGGTTTTATGTAACGCTTATATAGGAACCTTGAGGGTAGTGTAACTAGGTATCTCGATCGCAAAAGGGGGTTGATTATTCTCGATGACGAGAATTGCCCCATTCTGTCCCTTCTCGATAAGCTCGATGATAGCACTTGCTACGATCTCCGGCCTGTTATCAACACATTAATCAAAATTGAAAAATGAAAAAAGGCTAAATTAAAGCTATTTTTAAAATGTTGAACCATGCTTCAAAATCTTTTGAACTTTTACAGATATCAAGTATCAACAACTGTGACAAGTTGGATTTACGTAATACAGAATTATAATGATTGATATTCTCAACTGTCTATAAAATAAATTGTCGATTCTCTTAAATCAATTTGCGAATGCATTTAGGCGAAATAGTGTTTTGAAATCCGTAATTTACTAATTTCATAAATGAATGCTTCTTACGGCTGTTTTTGCATGTTCTGCATTGCATTTGCTGCAGTTTCCTCGTCGAGAAGATCCATGGCGTGCTCTTTGGTGGACATAAATCTGGCGGCCATGGCCGTGGTCGTCAAACCAGGACAAATCGTCAACATGCGGATACCGGTTTTCTCGTAATAATGCTTTTCCGTGCATAAAACAATTTGTTTCGTTAAAATGACAAACGTGACAAGGCGACATAATGAACACAATATTTTCCATTCACAAGCGAGGAATCTTAACGCTACATGTATGTACCTTGCGTTCATTTACATTTGTTTTGTAGATATGCAAATGTAATAATTTACATCGGCGTCTGCATAGGACAGACTCATATTAATTATACCGATTGGAACAATGAAGGAAAACAAACGTATCAGTGTTTGTTTCCTCCACAAATTTTCCGATATTTTTCTTCTCCAGTGGTAGAATAATTATTGTCGGATTCATTTTACCTTCAATGATTGAGTGAATCCCACGATAGCGTACTGCGTCCCGCCATAAATCGGTGCTATGGGGATGCCTTCGAGGCCAGCCACGGAGGACATGTTGACGATGGTACCACCGGTACCGCCCTTGTACTTTCCCATAGTATGCAATCCCAAAATCGTTCCATGAACGATGCCTTTCTACCAAAACGAAAAAAGACGTTTTGAGCATCAAACTCCAGTTAATCTTTCTGAATATATAAAAGAAAAAACATGAGCATAATGAAAAAGAAAATGAACAGCATTTTTGATTAGAGTTATATTAGGAATAAAATTATTTCGCAGTATTTGG